ATAAAGCTTCAGGAATTAAGACAGGATTGTACTGGAGGAAGAACAGGTAAATTGACCAATGGAAGAGAATGTGTGTGTGTTTATCTTTGAGTGTATATTACAGAGTGGAAATGGAAAATAAAAAGATCAGTAGAAGACAAAGGAAGAAACAATTTCATAGATGAAGCTGGAAATATTGGTTACCCATATGGAAAAAAGGAAATTGGATCTAGATTAAAATGTCATTTCCTGATGGATTCAGAACTTAACTATTAAGAGCAAAACTTTTAAACATTTTGAAGAAACCATAGGTAAATATTTTTGTGACTCTGAGAGAGATAAGGACCTTTTAAAACAGGACTCTAAAATTAATAACCATAAAAAGAAGTATTGTTAAATTTATCTCTATTAAAATTAAGAAAATCTGTTAATCAAAAGGCACTCTTTAGGAAATAAAAATGCAAACCATGAATTGGGAAAAGAAATTTGCAACATATATAACCAACAAAGTTTTAGTATACAATATATAAAGAAGCGCTTTTTAAATTTTATTTTTACACAAACAACTCAATAGAAAAATGGCTAAATAATGAACAGGCATTTTCCAGAAGAGGAAACATATATGTGACCAATGAATATATAAAGAGATGCTCATCTTTATTAGTAATTAGGAAAATGTAAATCAATACACAAGACTGAATCTATTTGGAAAAAATTAAGAAGCCAGATAGTACAACGTTTAGGGAGAATATATTAAAAAAAAACAGCTACCCTAATATACAGGTGATGGAACTGTTAAGCTGGTACAACTTCTCCAAGAAATGATTTAGATATTCCCATACCCCATGATTGTGCAATTCAACTCCTGGTTAGATACCACAAAGCAATTCTGATACAATTTGCACTAGGCGACATGTACGACCACACTCATAACAGCACTATTTATAATAGCAAAAAACTAGAAACAATACCAGTACCCACTGATATGATCACGGGTAAATACATTGTTGTGCATTCAAACAATGGAATGGAATAGTAGGGATAGTAATCAAAAGCT